AATGTAAAAATTGGGCCCACACTAATTCACTATTGGATCATTCAAACATAGAAATCTTTTATATACGTATATATACTTTAGCTAGCTTTAAGCAAAAACGTATAGGAAAAATATGATTCGAGTATTTTAATGTTTAAAATGGCAAAAACACCTTGTGATCAATTATTTGTAAGAAAAGCTATTTGAATATAGCGAGGTTACATTAAATTAAGCTGTCTGATTGTTTGAAAGCAGTGTAAATGTTCGAATAAAATTTTTAAAATAATATGTTACAAGTAAGCAAGTAAAAATCAGCTTTATGTGCCAACTATAAGGCTAAGAATGCGATCCGTCAGAGAATAAAGGCTTCGTCAATTTGCAGGCGATTATATAAATGATCAAACGTACATTACGAATTAAAAGTTTCCATAAAAATTACAATTAGTTTATAAATGTTAAATATTTTTATTTAGAAAAGTATTAACTCTTTTTTAAGTTTAATAACATACATACTAATTACATTATTTGTTTAACTACTTGCATAAAATGCGCTACTTTTGTAAGCTTAATGGTTGTCTGCCTTCGATCCTGTCATGATGGTTCGCTACTTGCAAAATTTCCGTTTCTAATTTTACTATTTACTAGTATCTTTTCATTCTTTACTTAATCTCTTGCTGCAATACATTTTTTATCAAGTATGTCCTTACCGTATTTGCATCTGTCTCTTATATCCTCTTTTAATTTATTCCTCTTATTTTTTTGAAGAGACGATATATCTTTTTGCTTTAACCTTATTTTAAAAAAGTAAAAATTTCTCAAAAATGAAGAAAAATGGCAAATTTATGTCTTTTTTCTTAAATGAGTTATCTCACATAAATGAGTAATGAACCCATCTATTTGTCATGAAAAAGTCTCAAATGACTCAACGTCAGATCATTTATTGGATTTGCCGTCAAGATCTTCATCTGACAACATGCCACCTGCAGTCATAACATATTTGGATCAGACTCATCTCAGGGATGTTGCTAACACTTCTCAAGAGTTTGAGTGCTTTCCTGCTGATTGCCACCTTTTGACGTCAAAAAACTCTTCCGAATATGCTAAGTTGCTGTCATCTAGAAAGCAACCTTTAACAGAGATTATATATTCAGAAGAGAACTATGTAAAGAGATTAGCGTTTGTTCATACTACCTATATTAATGTCCCTAATCTACTCAGCTCTACTGGACCTACACATAATCCAGATTCATCCGAGTTTGCTGAAATGCATTTGCCATCTTCTCCTCCTCCCGCAGCTCCTGAAGCTCTTTTGAGCCGATGGCGCGTCCTCTGGGGTAATTGGATTACACTCACGGAATGGCATTCGGCATTTTTGCAAAAGCTTAAGGTGTCACTAGATAACGATCCAGATGAAATCCCTGATCTATTTATTAGTTCTAGGACGAGGTTAAGGAGTATGTATACAAAATATTGTGAAAATCATAGGAAAGCTGCCTTGCTTGCGACTCAACATAGGGATTTTTTTGAAGAATTGCGCATATATTTTTCCGATCGTGACGGTATCCTGTCTCATTTGATGCAACCTATCCAAAGAATCATGCGATATCAACTTCCCATGGTAGAAGTTGTAAAATTGACAGAGCGTGCAAATCTTTCCTCTCTTCCCATTTGGCGTCGCGCTCTTGAGTTAATGAGGGAGATACCTCGTGACGCTCAACTTATCCTTGAAGTGAGTCACTTTTAAATATTTGATTATCCTTGAGAATCGTCCAAAACTATTTTTAGCTTGTATAGTATGCTTCTGGACCCGACAAATTATCGTTATTTCAAATTTTATTTTTTATTTAAGTGGATTGACCTCGTTTTCGCAACTTGAAAATGCATCAACCCTACGCTCTGACGTTCAGAATTATGATAATTACTATAGCAGAGAACTTCGGACAAGATGCGTCCAACTAAGTCGCCCTGACAACGCGACCAAGTTGCGTAAACGAAAGCAATCT